AAATGTTAAATTTAATTATTTCCATTTGTATAATGTTAACACACTATTAAATATGTAAGGTCTTACCTACATGACTACAGAAACTAATGAAGTATTTTCAAAATAAAAAATAGAATTCCTCAGCTCACAGGAGGTACAGACAAGAATTTCAGGGCACAGAGTGTACTTATTTGTCCTTAGAATTGACAATCTACCTGCTTTTCTGAGAGTAGTTCAAAAGCATAACCTTTGCTTAGAAAAGAAAAATGTGCAATCACCAAAGGTCCCTGCCACTCTACAGCAGGCTAAAGCCTAAACTAAAGTCCAACTACTAGGACTTGTTCTATTTAGTCAGTCTGCCTCAGATTATTCTGTTGCTAGCTCAGCATACAGCACTCTACCTTCTCTGCAACTTTTATAATTATGTTTCAATGGAAGGGAAGTCTCTTTTCCTGAGGAGCAACCACCAAGTCTAAGAAAAGGAAAAAGGTGCTCTTTTTCACATGAGGGTGAGAGCCACTTGAGTACTATTTTCCCACTTTTTTAAGTGTCTGTTTTTACCTATAATCTAGAAGAAGGGTAAAAAGTATAAACTTCATTTTAACTTCTACTGTTAAATACCTGACTTGAATAAATCTATTTGCAGCGCTTTTTTTTTTTTTTTTTGGTGTTTTTGAGACAGGGTATCCCTGTAGTGGGGGCTGGCCTGGAGCTTACTATGTAGACCAGACCAGCCTTGAACTCACAGAGGTCCACCTGCCTCTGCCTCCCAAGTGGTGGGACTACAGGCTTGTGCCACCATGCCCAGCTTCTACTTGCAGTAAAATTTTTTAAAACCCTGAAATACTTACTTTAATTTCAACTTGCTCTTCCATTTCTTTTGTTTTTATTGTAGTGTATTCCTTTTCAAGCCTAAAAAGGAAAATAAAAAAAAGTTCAAAATATGTTTTCATTCAAAAGTAGTAAGTTAATTTAAAAGGACATAGTCACACAAAACACAATGTCTTTAATTTCCCTCAAGGTATAACTTGAAATACTTGATATGAGAAAAATCAACAGAATAATTGAGTGGGTGGAGTGTAGGAAGGGAGAGAAAAGTTAAAAAGTAAAGGGACAAAATTTAGGATGACTGCATATGACACAATCAATGGCAAAAGACAGCACATTCCCTGGGTAAAAGCTAGAACCATAACATTGCTGAGTGGTAAAAGTCATAAGGGAGGAGATTTTATTTTATACCAATGAACACTGATGTACGAGTGGATGAGGTGCTATGATTTCTGTATTTTGTTTAGTGATTTCTAAAGAAAGAAAATAAACACAGCTAAGTATTAACAATTGTTAAAGCTAGATGGCAAGAATATGGATATTTATTATTCTAATCAACTTTTTTGCATACTGGAAGGCTTTTCTAATTGTAAAAAGAGACAAGTAAAAATATGATATGAAGCTAGCAAGTATAAACTATTCATTCCTTTACAATTAATCTTCGAGAAAAGGAGAAAGGAGTTTTATGTTGAGGAAGCTTTTGTTCTGTAACTCCTAACGCAATTCGGAATTACCTTCTTAGAGCAAAGAAAATATAAGAAAGGGCTAAAAAAGGTCAGGCATAGTGGCACATGCCTATAATCCCAGCATCTAGGAGGTAGAGACAAAACTGAATTACGGAATAGTCTGCGCTACATAGTGCAACCATGTCTCAAAAAACCAAACTAGCCCAGCCTCTTTCCAGGATGCGGGGGCTGACCTTTCCTCTTCCTGATCCTTTGCATCCCAGCTCCTCAGTGCAGTCCCCAGGAGCCCTTGGGGCTGCTTCCCACCCCCAGCTGCCCTAGACCAGCATCTTTCCTGGGCCCAGCTCCCAGGCCAGTCCAACCTCCAAATTCCTGAGGCCAAAATCTTTCCTGGAAGGATCCAGACCTTAAGAGAAAGCCTGAGAGCATCTGATCCTCATCTGGCTTGGGCCTCTGTGGGAACTTCTGAAGAAAAAAGCAATCTGGACACTCCAGTATAAAATAAAAAGAGAAAACCAGAACCTTAGATGAACAAGCTTTTCATGCCCAAAAACTATACCACAAAGACACATAAAGTTTACAAAAAGAAGCAGCCCTAAACTTGAAGACTACACAAGAATTAGAAACTAAAAGAGATCAAATGACAAAATCACAGAGAAAAAAATAGTAACATGAAAAACCAAAATAACTTATCCCCACCAAATACCAATAGTCCTCTAAGGAGTACAATGGGAACCCCCTAGAGACAGTGCAGGACATGGAAATCAAAAGAACAATTATGAACATGATAAAAGAGTTCAGTGAATTTAAAGAACACACAAAGAAATCAAAGAACTGAAGGAAGACAGGGATATACTTCTGAATGAATTCAGAAAAGAGTTAGAAACATTGAAGAATACTCAGGCTGAAATGAAGAAGGAAGGGAAACACTGAGTAAGCCAATTAGAAACGAGAAGAGAAAGCCTCACCAATAGGATGAATGAAATGGAAAACAAAATATCAAGACTGAAAGATAAAGTAGATGAACTAGACCACTCAAGCAAAGAGTATGAAAATTTAAGAAAGCACAAGAATGGAATATGCAGGAATTGTGTGACACCATAAAAAGACCAAACTTACAAATCATAGGCATAGAGGAATGGGAAGAATCCCAAGTTAATGGCATGGACCAGATCTTCAACAGAGTCATGGAAGAAAATTTCACAAAATTAAAGACAGACATGCCCATCCAAATACAAGAAGCATATATAACACCAATCAGACAAGACCAGAAAAGAAACTCTCCCTGGCATATTATAGTAAAAACATTAAGCGTACAGAACAGAGACAAGACAGAAAGCTCCAAAAGAGAAACAACAAGTCACATATAAA